TTGGCAAAATATTACCATTCAAAGCGAAATACACATGCCTTCATCTTTGAGGTGATTTTGACTTCAGTTTTACATAACCACTGATCAGATCAAACGCCATCATTTTGTCGCTTAATCGTATCTACATAATCTGTTTACAAATTCGAGAAAAAAAAAGTGCAATTTTAGCAGCGGATGCGGTAAGCCAGCGATCGATGAGCTCTGGTGGTACCATTGGTACCGAAGATATACCATCGTCACATCTAGAAGCACAGGCCACAACAAGTGGTACCGAAAATGGTGGGAATGTTTCAGCTGGCGATTCTTCTGTTTCCAGACGATCCTTTGGTACGAAATTTTTCATAAATTTTGAAAAGATGGCCTAGTTGAATTTCTTACTAGTTTCGTAAAGTAGCAGAAATTATTTGTGCAACGGCTTGGTGGGCATAAATCGTATAAATGTACAGGCATTAAGGCTACGTGTTTTTATAAATTATACTGAGGCTTATTTTGCTATGATAACTGTGCATTGCTCACGTACGAACACGTGAAATTTGATGTAACTCTGCAACCAGAACAGCTGGAGTGCTGAAATTTTCTGAGCATGGCCAGGGCCAATCGCATGCAGAAACGGCATTCACTTTTCATGGGGTAAGGGAGAAGAAAACAACGATTCAGGTAACTCGAATAGGTATAGTATTATGTGCATAGAACGTAAATTTCAAAGGCTCTGTAACAACTAAGCGATTTGCTCACGGTAGAAGGGCCTGGTATAGCTGCGCTGGATATCCGTTCTTGAGGATGTTTATCGAATTTAGTGGTGCTTCCTGAACTGTGATACAGAGATATCCTGTATGGTGTTTTGTTTTGGGTACCGAATTTTCTTTGTGTCCCACTGACGTCGAAATTCAAATTTGATCCTGGTTCACTGCGAAATAATCACCTTTTGTTCTGTATTTCAGCACATTCAGTGGCCTCATCGGGCGATGCTCATTCGGCCTTGTCACATTCGTTTGAATGGCCCGAAATAGACGGAATCTCGGCAGGACGAGCGGCCGCCCTGGGGGCTCTCTGTCGAATTATTTGCTCGAAGACAAGCAAAGAGAGCATATCAGATTCGCATCTGGCACAATTTTATAAAGTTTTGTATGAAGCACTGCTTGAGGTAACTTTTTTTAAAATTTCTTAAAAAATAAATGAATTTTGATGTGAGCAGTGACTAGAACAGCTGGAAAACTTGGTGGCGGGACTGGGCCCAGTTCGTTTTTTAAACCTTAGAATCGCGGTTTTGCTCATTAAGGACTGTAAATTCGTTTCGATGATCAACTAGCTGGCAAGCGAGCATCAAAAGGGTGGTGCCGCAGTCAGTTAGCTTCTGAATTATCGATAGACATATAAGATTCGGATGATTATTGATTCCTGGCAAGTAACTTTACTGAAAACATATTGAAACTAACGAATTTTCACAAAAAATTCAGTTCTAGTTATGCGAAATACGATGGAATATCATGTTTTCCACTTTGCTTGTGCGAGCGAGTTTTTGAAATAAATTTTTTCGAGAGCAGAATTTTTCTCTTTGTAAACAGTCTTTTCAAGTACAGTTTTTTGATTTTATTTAAAAATTCAAATATTTGCTTCAGAAAGATCGTCTGATGCTATGCGCATTGATCTTCTATGGAAATGGCATCTTTCGCCTGGCTCTTAAAGGTGTTGAAATACTTCTGCCACAGTTTGTT